TGCCCATTCTTGCACACAATGCAGCTTTTAAAGATAATGTTACCCATTTCACCCACTTCAACTGGATGACATTAATGGAAGCGAGGCAGATGTCAACTCAATTGGAAATGATCATTAAATGTCAAGCGTGCCATTGAGCCGCTTCCAATGCCGTCCACCTTGTTTTCAGCTATTCTATTCCGGGTCGGGAATTCTTTAATACAGCCATTGCTGGATTCAAATGATGGAAGCAATCATGAGTAGAGCACTTTTCTGCTTCATGCGGACTGTTTAAGCTAAAGAAGTAACTGCAACACTCTAAGGCTCAGGATGTAACGCTTCGCCCATAACTGGCCAGGCGACGCCTCCATCCAGAGGTGGTATGTCTTTTATGAGTCCCTGCCAGCGCTGTCCTTGCCTGTGGACTGACACTAATGTACTAATTGTAAAGATTTTGATCTGACTGGAAAATGCACTCAGCGGGCGTGCCCTGAGAGGATAAATGCCATTGACACCGACATAATTAAAGCCCAAAACCGTTCTACAGTAAATGGAGGCATCGATCCCAATGAAATCAATGAGAATCCAGGCGACAGGCAGCCCCGTGACTGTGGGTACGACTGACTGGCTCTTTTAACAGGCCGAGGGAAAAGACAATCCCTGCGTGTCACTCAAAAGACAGTTAAAGACGTAGGCCTGCTAATTTAAAACGGGTTAGAGTTATAGTTAATGGCGTCTCTGTTGTGTTAAATGATTTTGAGAAAATACAGTTCGGAAATAACGATTCATCAGAGTGGCGCTTGAATTTGCATAAATGGTGTTCTTGTAGTCTTGCAACAAATGCCAATAGGTCTACACTATAATAGAGAACGACATAGCAAATGTTATGAGTATTGCCATAAAGGAGATTTTTTGGTTTTTGTATATTTTACGTAATTAAACCAGAGTTAGAAAAATGGAGCTCTTAAATGTCTCCCTCTGACTGTTAGCGAAGTATCTTTTGTTATAAGTAATTAGCACACTGCAGTACATCAGTCCAACACTAGAGGGCCCATCGCAACCATCACTACAAAACAACCTCCGTCGAGCATTAATTATAACGTACAGCGATGACCCCATTTGTCCTTCTCCACACAAGTTCTTAAGGGAAACGGCTCACTCCGGGCTCCCGCCATCACAACTCAATATGTCCCGAAGATCTACCTTATGTCCAGTAGGCCTGCGCATTTCAAAACGCTTATATAAATCCGTCCGGTAAATGCATCCAGAGGCGTTTCGCCATAGAAACGCTAGGTCTACCACAAACTAGGTCTGACACAGCAACAACATGAAACACACAGAACAGTTGAAGCGTTGACCACGTTCTTTCTAGTAATACAGAAAATGATCAGGGCCGGCCATGTTGTTTGGTTCTCTCCTTTCAAAGGGACGGATCAATGGCTTGGGTGAGGAGGGGGGGGAGAGCCTTCCACCTACAGGCCAGGCTTAGCTGAGAAAACAATCCCAGGGTTTCGAACGGTCTCCCTCAACTCAACAGCCCCGCGGTCTGAAAGCTTCTCTATCTATTAGATCATATCCGGGTCGAAGAGCATATAAAGATGGAAGCCAGGGGCTCCCCTGCACACAAAGCCCTGTGCCCCCACCCGAGCAGCGACTCACTCCTTCCTCACAGATGACCCACAGGGGTCACGGGGGGGTCACATGACCCAGAGCCATCACATGGGCCAAATCAAACCACCGCGATCCGTTGCGAAAAACACAACTGGAAACAGACCCAAGTAGTGGAGTTCCACCGGAGCAGATCAAGTAAGGTGTTACAGTTCAGGTGAGCGTTTCCTCTTGCGGTCTCGTCCCGTCCCTGAATCACCTCGATCAGTCAGGGTGGATAAAGATCTCAACTCTCCACCGGAACAAACCAGGGCGTTTCTTTGTAATGCAGAGGATGTGGTGAGAGGGCGCGAATAGCTGAAGAGACACCTCGTTAGCCGAGCTGTCTGAAGAGAGGTCGGTGTCCGCTCGTATGTACGTATTAAAACTTAAAGCTTCCTGGAACGGGAGAGGGCTGTCTGTTACAACGGGGAGCCCAAGGAGAACCGGTGGTCTCTTGTTTGCGTTGATACAGACAGCGAGGTCTCCCGGCTCTGACCTCGTCAGGTCAGTTACACAGAAGCACACGTTAGATGTTTCGTATTGATAGAGGCGCTCACGTCTCCAGGCAGCGAAACAATGGTAATTCACATGCAATTAGACTGTACGCGTCGACTGAGAGCGCAGACCTTTTCAATAATAACGTTGTAACGCATGTGAAGGTTCGAGATAATAGGGATGTCTGAATAAAGATGTCTGAATTAGGATGTCTGAAAAAGACTTCTGAATATGGATGTCTGAGTTAGGACGTCTGAGGTGGTTGTCGTGACTACAGGAGTATTTGCCGTGCTGCTGCTGCCCTGAGGTGTAACCTTGTCAGCCCTGTTGGTCCACCCTAACCTTTACACCTTTACATAATCAAAAAAACGAGAACTAGCACAAGAGACAGACTAATAGAAAGCGCTAGAAACAACGAGCGAAGGACAAAGAGAGGAGACGGAGAGAAGAGAATGTGACGTAGTATTAACGCCCGCCAGATCATTCCGTTCACTTTGGTCTAATGCCGCCCGTGTGTCCCTTCCCGTGAGCACAAAGACAGTGGAACCATGTGTGTCGCCCCGTTTCCCACCTAACAGCAATCGTCGCGCGCTCCCGCCCCCTGCATATCTAATGACAGTGTTCATGACCTGCATAATAGGCGTGCAGTCTAGGACATGGTCGGTGAGCAGAGACCCGGCACAATGCTAATGATTAACTCGTCCATTCGGCGCCGTTTCCACAGACTACTGGCTCTGTAGGAAAACACCTTCCTGGTCATTCAACATGTGGGACACGTACACCCTGGGCTCCTACTGTCTGCTGCCTGCTGTAGATGTATTCTAGACACACCCTTTCATTACTCAAGAGGTTGCGTCGCCAAAGTGCAACAGCAGGGGGTGCTGTTGCGATCAAAAACACAATGGCCTGTCACGATGCACTGTAGCCTGGCTCGGCTTCCGGTCTTCAGCAGAGGATCAACTGTTCGCCGCTACACTCAAAGGCTCACCTACGCTACATCCCACGGAGATCCCGAAGTTGGAAGCCATTTCCGAGCAGCCACTGTAAATAAAGAGACGCTAGTAAAGTAAGTGTCAGCATTGACATATTACTCAATTTATTGGACTTGATTTAATACCTTCTGCTTGGTGAGGATTTTCTGGCATTAGGGGACTTAACTGACTAAAAGCATTTAGAGCCTGAGCCGCGAGTACAATATGTCTTTTCCCAAGTGTCGTGTAAGAGAATATACTACCACTATAACCCGGATGACTTATTCAAATCACCATAATTCCAATTCCTCCGGTCCCTTTACAGAGACTGTCAGAAAGGGATGGCAGACGGGCGAGTATAGACAGCTACTTTTTTGGTGGGCTTAGAAATGTGGGACCGGTGGAAGCGGAGAGACAAGCGGTGCCTTCAGATGTGAGAGGAGGGAATGCTGGGTAGGGGACAGTGAGGAGACTCTCACGGGGGGACGGTCTATGCATCTTCATTTGTCAGTCGCAGAATCGCTCCTTCTAGAGGCTTCATGGTTGTTACCCCGTGTTTACAGGGCTGCTTTTGAAGGCCGGGAAGGCGACGATCCCCTGAACTCACTGGAATGGGAAAACGGCGAAAGCGATGGCACACATTCCAAGTCGACACAAACACACGATGACAGGCATGCTCTCACAAACCCAGGCAGACGAAAACATGTAGCCAGACAGCCTCCGTTTTGCACAACAGACAGATACTGTACGGACCTCCAACATTCCCTGTGGTAAACGTGCAATTCGTTTGAATCCTCTGTTGCTTCTATAACAGCGTTTATATCTGGGCTGGTAGCTGAAGAGTCCACACTGAGCACATCAGAACGAGACGGAAACACCCTGTTAGAAAATAGACGGACAAACTTAAGT